CCACTCTGCAGAATCTGTTAGTTCAATCTCTAATGTTCTGCTCTCTGCTTTTTCTCATAGTAGCTTCATCTGGTTTGTTTCTTAAATAAAACCTCCAACTTTAGGTTGAAATTTATTCCCACGATGAGTCTATGTCTGACTGGAGCTTTCAAGAGGTAAGAAAACATTGGGAAATTAATCTTAAAATCCAAATGTCTATAAATAAAAGTGTTCTTTTCAAAAGGGCTAAACCTATGAAAACAAATAAACACATCTGATTCGATCCTGCAGCCTTCAAGACTTTAAAGAATGTGTCAAAACTTTGATGTAACTGTGGATTGTACTGGGAGAACATTCTTTACGCTGTACCGCCTATGTTTAACGTGTGGGAGAAGAGAAGAGGTCAGCTAGCCCTAAGAGAGCTATGCTGCTGATGTGGGTGGCAATTTGGCTCCAGACAGAGATGCCGTTATAAACAGGACCCCTTATATGGCCTCAATTCCCTCATGTGCTCCTTCAATCCAGCTCAGACTTTGCCTGGTTTTTATCTGAAGGTCACAGCAACCAGCGGAGTCCCTGTGATGAATACTTGATGTTGTTTTTACCTTTTGAAATGAAAAGTTGAACATTTATAGCCGCTGGGCCACAGAAAGGCAGCGGCTGACTGTGAATATGGAACAAATCTCCTGAGAAACATGGAACTCTGGAAAGCACCGTTTTCAGGGAGAAAATACGATGTTAAAACGACGCGCAGCTACCAAAGAGAAAATGAGAAAAACAATACTGGAAACTAAAAAGGATGAAAACAGTATGGATGCAGAGGTCAGCCTACATCACCATAATGTTAACAAGAAAGGAAAAATTAAACTCTAAAAGACTAGATTTATGTTTAAATCCAAAGCCGAAAAAGTTAGCTCCTGGAAGTTACGTAGGATCCCATTTACAGCACAGATTGGGCACAGAAGAGTTATAAAACAGAAAGGATTTAAAAACATTTATTTTCACAGGAAATACATTATTAACCTTTAACATATTAAAGTTTAGTACGCTTACTATTTCTAAGGAGGGAAAAATGTAATTTAGGTTTTTTTTACAACGTAAAATTGTGGCCGACCTCATTGTATATCTAGTTACGAAAATGAGCTGATGGTACGGATGGTGCTACCGTTACCGATCATGCGACTGG